AATTTTGGTTCAAAATGGTGAGTCAAACCCATACCCACCCCACCCCCAAACTTCAAGAAAAGTATATAGACACAAGTTATCAGCACTAGAAACTAGAAGGTATCATTCACATGCCAGAAGCTTTAATGAACTTCTTGAAGATACAGCATGGCAGACTAGAACCAGCAAACGACCTCACTACATGTGAAAAGAGCCTCAGCTGAACCCTATTAATATCCCCAGAAAGAAAGAAACTGGAAATAAAGATGAACTCTTGAGTAGTGAGTAGGGAGCAATTCTCAAAATCACTAGTACCTTTTGAGATTTGCACCAGTGCCATTACATGGAGTGATGAGGAAAATGCTAACCCCGACTTTATTCTAGGCATGGGTTGTTGAAAACAATTTGGAAGCACTGTCCCTGGCCTCTAATGACTTTATAGTTAGAGAGGCACCACTCTAGAAAGCTTTGGGATGCCACAACAATATCTAAAAGGAAGATAGCATGGCACTAAAGTTCCCTACTATATGAAGGCCACACTTAAGGATCTAGAAGGCCACAGATTCCCCACCCCTGAATACACCATTGGCTTCCCTGGTTCTCAGGCTTTTGGTCTTAGACTGAGCTATGAGAACTAGCTCCCCTAGTTCTCCAGCTTAAAGACAGCATATTGAGGGACTTGTCAGTATCCATAATCACGTGAGCCGATTCCCATAATAAAACTCCTTTCACATAGTTATGCAAGTTATGCACTGCCTAATAACATCTCAATCAACAATGGACCACATATACAACATTTTCTATGTTTAATACACAAATACTTACTACTGTATATCTGTATCTGTGTAACCTGTACCATTCAGTACAGTAACACCTATACAGGTGGCGGCCCTATACCATCTAGGTTTTTGTAAGTATAGTCTACGATATTTACGCCATGACAAAATCACCTAACAATGCATTTCTCGGAACATATCCTCATCATTAAGTGATGTCTACCTGTATATGTGTTGGTTCTTCTTCTCTGCAGAACCCTGACTTACATAGGGACTAACACACTCTCTGATCTAACTTCAATATTTACATGAAGTGAAATGAGACCTATGTTGATTCTTTTTTAATAAATGCAATCTTTTAGAGAAACTTAATTGTAGTTTGTTTGTTTTTTTAAGATCTCTCCTGCTTAGATTTTAGTAAATACTCTTGTTTGTTCCTTTCTTGGGGTGGTGTAGAATGTTAGTAACTGACAGTGGAGAAACAGGAAGTCACTAGCTATGTCCAGGTAGGATTCAGACATGTTTTGGCATTTCCAGGGAACTAATAGAGCAAAACAACCAAAAGGCAAATGTAAAAACTAATCTTATAGGAAAGAGCCAATCATGATGACCCTCATCCAGTAAAAAAAAAACTTAGTGTCCAAAGACTGTCAATGCTAAATACTAAGTATTTTCTATTGCTGAATTTGCCTCCTAACATACACATATGTCCTACATAAATCCCCAATAGATTTATGCCTGTATCCTGTGGAGTGCAAAGAAGCTACAATAAAAATCTAAAAGAATTATTTCATTAAAACACTAGTAAAAATCAGTGCTTTCGGACCCTACTTTTGGAACCTTCTGATAGAGCATAACACCAGCTCATCATGCAGCTTTAGCTGTGAAAAAGAACACTGGCGGAAATACTCAGCAGAGCGCCATCTTGCAGGAGACTGAAGTACCTGGTAGAGGAGCAGCTGTACTCAGCGGAAACAGACTTGTTCAAGAGCATAGATGAAACAGCCCTGAGAACTTCTAGAAATACCTAGGAAGAGTAACTTTGCAAAAGGCTGGATGTCCTTTACATGTTGGTAGGTGGAGACAAAAACCACTGATATTCGTGTCATTAACATTATTGTGACTCTCATTAGTATACACAGTCCAATGAAGACTAGAGAAACTTGTATTACATAAATAAAAAGGATTAATCCGTATTTTCTCTAGGAATATTTACAGCACTGTAAGTGGTCTCAATATTCTTGGATGATTGACCTACAGATGGCTTCTATTGAATTGTAACATAAAGCAGAGAGGCATTTTACTTTCTTCACTATGGACATTCAGCTTTAACATTATGAGTGATGAGTGATATAGTCCTATAAGGCACTACATCAAAATATTATTATTCTTAATAGCATTATTATTATCATTACAAGTAGGGATTCTAATTTCATACACAATTCCAAAGCCAAGCCCTTTGTCATATCCTTAAAGGAACAAGACAATGAATAAAAATCAAAACAGCGATTCCACCAATCTCACAGGATATATATATATACAACTCTGGGACTCCTAAGTATACCACAAAAGGAAACAAGGCTGTCAGACCATCCAGAGGTATTGAGTCTGAGGGTGCAGGGACAAATGCTGTCACACCTAGCAGAATAGCATAGAAAAGTGGCAGAGCCTGACATGTCCAGCAGAGCAGCAGGTACCAGCAAGGGAACACTGGGAGAAACCATAACACTAGAGTAGCTGAAATGCAGGCTGTCCTGATAGGGTCAGTGGTAACTCCAAAGACTGCTGCACCCAACTGAGCTTCAGGAAAAGAGAGTGCTCAGCCACCCAACCCTTTCTTTTGCTAAAGTAAGTGTTGAGCCCATCTTTCGAATGGAATCACCCAAATAGAGCCATGGATTTTAAAGTACATAGGCAGTTTTTATGGCAGAAAGAATAAAATTTCCCATTTATGTTGTACTTTATTTTTACTTAGAAATAAAGAATGCCATAATTGTGCAGATTTGTTCTACTATATGATGACCATAATAGGCAGTGAAGAAAACATGTAGGCCTATATCCTAATATGATACAGCCATTCTGGATATATTAGATATTTTATATATTTCATGCAGGGGCATATCTAATATGTTGATTATGTTGATGTACTATACCCCACAAATTTGTCAAAAAATCAATATTTTTTTAATTTAGAAAGAAATGAAGTTTACTTGGCTCATGGTTCTGGGAGGCTGGGAAGTCCAAGATCAAGGGGTTGTGTCTGGTGAGGTCCTTCTTGCTGTGTCATAACCTAGCAGAAGAGCATCACATGGCAAGGAATTGTGCATATGAGACAGAAAGAGAAAAAAGGGGCTGACCTCCTGCAATAACTAACCTACTCACATCATGACAACATTAATCCATTCATGAGGGCAAAGCCCTTCTGACCTAATCACCTTTTAAAGGCCCCACTTTTTTTTTCTATCTCTGAAACTTTTTATTTTTTTTAATTTCAGAATATTATGGGAGTACAAACATTTTGGTTACAAAAATTGGTACAGTACCGTTTGAGTCAAAGTTATAAGTGTGCCCATCCCCCAGATAGTGTGCATATACCCATTAGGTGTGAATTTACCCATCCTCTCCTCCCCCACTCCTACCTGCTTGATTTAATGAAATATTTTTATTCTATCAAAATTAAATGATAAATCTTGCATTTTATTTTTTACTTTTATACAACAGTTTCAATAATTTTGTGCATGAAACAAAGTTTATATACATTAAACCATCAGATAGCAAAGGTGTCACTATCTCAGCCATCGTGTGGACCGTCTGTGGTTGTTTGGCATCACCGCCATTCCTGACTCTGAATTTATATGCTACCAATACCTTTTTTCACACTTATTCACACATAGGTGCTTAACAGTGAAAACTATAACACACCATTAATACAGTGAAAAAAATGTGTTCAGGGTAACGGAGCAGCACAGTAGCATCACCGGAACACCTGTATCACCTGTTAAACAACAAGCAATGGCAAGTCTCCAACAATAATGCTGGGTATTACAGCTTTTATAGGTGTGCTTGCA